AGCCAATAGGTCTGCCAGTCTTAATTGGTCCTAACTAAAATCTGTATTCCATTGGTTGAATTTTAGGATTTTAGGATTAAGACCGAAGCATAAACCAGGCATATGGCTGCGTTCAGGAATTACGCCTAGATAACTCCAAGGTGCATTTTTGCTATAATATACGTGACGCAATCTATAGCTTAGAGTTATCTAGGCTAAGTTGAACTTTGTACTTTAAACTTGTATAGAGGGGCAAATAATTAATCACTATCTATTCTCTTTTGATATATCATTTCCAAATTATAATTATTGCACTATCATCGATTTCGGCAAAGTGAAAACAACTACGACTGAATATCATTCTTTAAATCTGTCTGAAAAAAATATTGATACATGATGTTCAGAAAGGTAAGTGACAAAAAAATGTCAATCCTTCAAGTTTGCTTGATTATGAAATCATACATTGTACCATTTTTTCAACTTTTTTATGTTCCATTTATAATTAAAAAACGATAGCTGCATTGTTATGTTACTCAGATTAATTATTCATTTGTTTATCTTAAAATTAAAAATTTTTTCAGGTACTTAACCCAAGATTGTACCAAAAAGTGGTACGATCCTTCTCAGCAACTGCCGAATCCATGCAAGGATATAATTTTGGTTGGTACATTTATATCTTACAAAATATAGAGTATATAAAGATCTATATTGTTAGATAAATAATCAGAATATAAGGTAGAATCTTAAAGATACAAAAAAGATTTATATGAATATATATATATATATGCAGAAATGTTCTTATTTACATAATTTGATACATATAAATAGTATGTCTTAAATCAGATAAGTTGAATTAAATGTACCAAGAAATAGGAAAGCATAACATTATTATCTGATTGCAGTTTCACATTATTTACATTTTATAAACAAGATTGTTCCAAGTATTTCTTAAGTAAGGTAAAATTTAAATACTTCAAGAGAAAGCTGAAATTTACATATAGTTTTTTTACACTGCATTTTTTACATATCTTTGCATATTACCAGATTTTAAAATATGATTATTATTGTCTCATTGAATTGTTTTAGAATTATCAGATACTCAAAAGGAAATGCAAGAATTAGCACGGAAGTTTACAAAAGAAGAGATTATTCCAGTAGCTGCAGAGTACGATCGAACTGGGAAATATCCATGGGACATTATTAAAAAGGCGTGGAATATTGGTCTTCTGAATAAACATATTCCACAACATTGTGGTATGTTTAATTTATCAGATTATATTCCCAGTGAACACAAGTTATGTCTAACATAGCTGTTAATTGTAATTTTCCATTCAACAATATAACTCTAACATAACATGTGTGTTATGTTACAGTTATATTATTGAGTGGGAAATTACAACTAACGGATATGTTACACGTAACTTTGTGTTCACTGGGTTATATATACATATTTTACATATAAATTATTATAATAATAATGCTAGAATAAAAAATAATATTGATGCAAAAATAAGATTGATAATAATTATAATCTATTCTAGGCGGTACGGAAACTAGTATTTTTGATTCATGCTTGATTACGGAAGAATTGGCTTATGGTTGTACAGGAATAACAACTGCAATAGACGCCACAGGTCTTGGAGTAAGTTTATCAACAGTATTCACTTCTATAACATATAAAATTCTAATAATTCTTTTAGCAAATTAAAAATTAATTTTTCTTTAATTTTATTAATTTCTAATTTTCTTTTAAGATTATATATTTTAATGTAGTAATCATACATATGTGTATATATATATATATTTATTCAGCAAACTCCAGTTATCATAGCTGGAACAAAAGAACAGCAAAAGAAATATCTTGGAAGACTTGTAGAAGAGCCACATGTTGCGGTAAAAATCTGAAATTAAACTTATGAAAGTTAAATTAAAATTAATGTAATAAATTAAACAATATTATTTATAGGCATATTGCGTTACTGAACCTGGTACAGGATCTGATGTAGCAGGTGTTAAAACCAAAGCTGAGAAGAAAGGAAAAGAGTGGATAATTAATGGCACCAAGATGTGGATCACAAATGGTGGTGTTGCCAACTGGTATGAGAATGTGCTTCATTATTTAGTATTAAAGTTCTAAAGAGATATATTTCTCAATATATTTCATTAAACATATATATAGTATTAACTTCTAAAGGATGTCACACTTTTAATATAATTTCTTATTATACAGGTATTTTGTTTTAGCGAGAACAAATCCAGATCCAAAAGCTCCAGCTAATAAAGCTTTTACAGGTTTTATTGTGGAACGTAATAGTGATGGCTTAACTCCCGGTCGTAAGGTAATTCTTGATGATAATCTTTTATTGTTATTCTATTTAATCGTTGACTTAAATTTGTACTAATTTACACTAATCTTTTTTTTTATATTTTAAGGAAATTAATATGGGACAAAGAGCAAGTGACACGCGAATGATAACATTTGAAGATGTTCGCGTTCCCGAAGAAAATGTATTGCTTGGAGAAGGGGAAGGTTTTAAGATAGCTATGAAGACTTTTACCAGGACCCGGTCACCGGTAATATTTCATTAAATCTATCCATTAGATGCCAAATCAATTTAGTTCATAAGATGTATGCAAGCGTATTTTTACATTTAGCCTTTTTACAGGTAGCGACAGCAGCTACTGGTTTAGCTCAGAGAGCTCTGGACGAAGCAACAAAATATGCACTGGAACGCAAAACATTTGGTAAATCAATAGCGGAACATCAAGCAATAGCTTTCATGCTAGCGGATATGACTATTGGTGTTGAGACTTCTAGAATGGCATGGATAAAGGCAGCCTGGGCTATTGATAAAAACTTACCGAATGCTATAATGCTCGCTAGTATTGCAAAATGTTATTGCAGTGATGTAGCTAATAAATGTGCTACAGACGCTGTACAGGTAAAGTACAATACAACTTATATTAATGAATTTTTTATTAAACTATACAGTTAGCAAGAAGAGGGAGTCGATTCGATACGTTCTTATAATTTATCGTATAATATTTTTTTTTTAGATTTTTGGTGGTGCAGGTTTCAATTCTGAGTATCCAGTAGAAAAGCTTATGCGTGATGCCAAAATTTATCAGATATACGAAGGTACTGCGCAGATTCAAAGACTGATTATATCGCGTGCTCTTTTTGATGAAGCTAAACAAAAGACCAACTAAATAACTGTACGTCGAATGTAAATTATATTATAAAATTTATTTTTATATTTATATATAACATTTTTATAAGCTACAAGATAATTGGGAAGTAACGCGTTATTTGTATATGAAACATCGTTATCGTTACAATTATTTTTTCAAATAACGACTTGAGATAACGACATTATGTTATTTTATTATTAGTGATTTGTATTGATGATAACGTAGTTACATTTTTGGGTAAGTATAACGAACATAAACGTTTTATTATTATTTTGTACATGTACAATACACATGTATGAAACGTGCATAAGAGAGTTTTAAAAGAAGAGAGTGTTATGTGTTTGATCATATTAAGATTAACCTACTATAGATTTTCACTATAGATATTCAATTAGTCAATTAGCGACACAGATAATTGGATGCCACTCTGAAAAAAAAATCAACTCGGTGAAAAAATAACGGTGAAATTGTAACGATTCGATATTTTTAGGGTAATGATAATGTTAACGAATTACTTTTTGCAATGAATAATCGGTGATAGTAACAAATTACTTTTTAAAAATAACTTTTAGTTATGATAATAAATTTGTATATATATATTTTTATATTATGTATCGAAATATTTGATATAATATTCGATTATATACATCTCGAATCTATCATATATTAATATAATATAGATGTTCATTGATGAAATTTTTATAATCAGTGATATGTATATTATATACACATATATGTATTATATATATATACACGTATGTTACAAATAAACGAAAAAGAGAAGCCTTGTTGGGTCACAGTTAATGGTTTTTTGTACACTCTGTGTAAATGTTTTATGAATGTTTAGGAAAAGAGATGAAATATAATAAAAAATTTTCTCGATTTATAATTCAGAAAAATACAATAAAGTCCATTTTAATAAAAAATACCGTAAGTATAAAAATTATCAAAAACTTAAGAAAAAGACTTATAATACGAGACGTTAGAAAGTTGCAATTTCATGTCTAAATTCTAAGCAGAATCGTAAGGCTCGTAATATATTCCTGTAAGACTTTTAAGAATTTTTAAACACTTATACCTTTATACAATATTTTTACAGATAGCTTCTTACAAGAAATCGTAGATATTTACGAATAATCGGATGTCTTACGATACATACGTATAAAATTAGAATACTAGTCATAAGTTCTTATATATACAAGTTTTATGAGAACACGTTACGAGTTTTACGATTCTGCTTAGAATTGACCTATAAATTTTTGACATATATCTGATATATTGTCTAATTTCGTACGTTTACATTTTCTGGAATTCGCGAAAGGACTTCATATTTTTAGATATTAAATTATTTTCAATAATTTAATATTTAAAAAATAAAGTCCTCAAGAGATCACAATTTACGAAAAATTTTTCTTTTTTAGAAAACTCGATAACGCGAGTTTTTAACGTGTTCAAGACGTTTGTACTTTCTAACGATAAAGCGACAAAAATGAATCCATTTGAGCATTTTGAGCCCTTCGAATCGAAATAAATCGAACACAAACCCGCGTGTTTTTATCGTGAGTATAAAGCATGGACTGCGCAATCCATGTATATGATTAGTCGACAAAAATGAAAGAGATATGGCGCGAAGACGGCTAGTCTCTGTCTCTTTTTGTTCAACAGCGTAATGTTGATAAACACAGAGGAAGATTATCCGTTTTCAAGCTCTCTTTTTCTCTTATTTTTGTTCATCACATTAGATACACTATTTAGATACGGATGACGCGGTCCATGTTCTACGTCTTCGACCGTGAGTGACTGCCGTTTTGAAACGGGCGCGGTTCCGCGACAGACGGCGCTGGTCGCGTCGCGACAAGGAGTGCGTTAGTCAAGTGCATTGTTCATTGAAAACGTATTACGGCCGCATTATGTCCGTCGGACCGTAGCCTTTTTCACGCGGTTTTACTCGGTGAAGTCGCGCGTGACGAGTTATGCAACGTACGCCGCGTAAGGGCGGCCCGCGCCGGGCGATCGGACACCGCGGCAGCTGACCTACTTAGAGCTCGGCCTATCATCGTCGTACCTCACGACGCGGCGGCGAATCGTGTCGCCGACCACGCGAAAGGAGAGGTTCGTGACAAATCCCCGGTGGTTCGTTAGAACGGCCGAAAAAGTCGGGCCGCACGAGTCGTCCCGCGGCACCGGATCCGCGGAGCGACGCGGTCGCGATGTCGCGATTGCGGCGGCCCGTCGGCGGCGAAGGAAGCGGGGCCGGGGACAGACACCTTTTGGAAATTGCGTCTTTCCGCCCGCGACGGAGCTCGCCGATGAGGCGCAGGGCCGTAATCGACGCGCGACAGCGCCCGGCACGAGGGTACCGGCTCTGCACCGACCGAGGCGGCCGCGGCGTGTAAATCAATTCGAATCCTCTTTCTCCCCTTTCTGCTCTCTTTTTACCTTCCTCCGTCTCTGTCTCTTTCTATCTCGGAAGCGACGGCGTTTCGTCTCGGTAGCGAGCGAGAAAGCGAACGCCGGTGTACTCGTTTATGTACGCTCGCGATTACGGTTTTCCCTTTCGTTCGACCACTGCCGTACACACAAGCTTCGGCATAACGGGGTGGGGGGTGGGGGAGACGCCAACTGGACGGCGAAACGAATCGGAGCACACGCAAAGATCGTCACACGCACATGACCCTGACCCTCGCGGTTTATCGCGAACGATGATCTTCCGAGCAATTTCTGCATAAATTTGAGGTCGCGCGGTACGTAGACCCAAGAAACGGATTCATTTCCCGTCGTCGCGCGAATTGAGATTTCGAACCGCGACGTTGATCCGTTCGAGAGTCTTTTTGCTAGGAAGATGAGAAAAAGAAATAGGAGAAGGAAAAGATCGGTGGATGAAAGAGAAAAAAATGCGAACGTATGGCTGGGCAGCGTGCGGCCGATACGGTCCTGACGGCTTTCGTGCTGTCAGTGCGCGACAGTGCGCCGGACGCTCGCTTGACTTAGGGAGTGCCCGTGCCGATGCAAAGTGTAAGTGAAGTGGCCTACAGACCTACATTTGTCTAACGTTCCATTTTTTCACGGGCCGACGGGAACGGGAGGTTAACGAATACCGCGCGCGTTACCTCCGCTCTTTTCTTCGGTAAAACGTGGCGTGTGCGCGTACCTGCGATGCCGCCGTCCCGTGATATACCGATGTTCGACTGACGAGACGGACGAGAGAAAGAAAGAGAGAGAGACCGAGAGAGATAGGTACATAAGTAGACAAAGACGGTGAGAGCGGCCGGGAGCGAGCGAGCGAGCGAGTTAACCGTGGCGGTGGTGCAGTTTCGGTACGTCTCGGACACTGCGCTCTGACCAGCGTGTAGTCGTGAAAGGAGACAGAGAGAGAGAAAGAGAGAGAGTGAGAGGGAAGAGAGGGAGACAACTCGTGAGCGTGCGCGAGAGTGACGGAGAAGGGTGGCAGAGGCGTGAGAGTGAGAGAGTATGATAGGAGAGCGCACGAGAGCGAAAGCGAGTGTACGAGACGTCAGCGGAAGGG